AGCTTTTTGCAGAGTCAGTTGCGGTTCTCGTAATAGACGTTCTTGTAGCACTTTATCTCGAATCCCTACCACAACACGGTCTCTTATGAGAGATTCTTCCTGAGTCGAAAACTCACATGAGGCAGCAAGCGTTTTCAGCTGAGTTAAGTATACATCAAACGATTGGCCTTCTTGCTGCGAACATGAGAAAAATTTATAACGCTCAAAGACAATATTCNACAACACGGTCTCTTATGAGAGATTCTTCCTGAGTCGAAAACTCACATGAGGCAGCAAGCGTTTTCAGCTGAGTTAAATATACATCGAACGATTGGCCTTCTTGCTGTGAACATGAGAAAAATTTATAGCGCTCAAAGACAATATTCTGCCTAGGAACGCAATACTCTTGGAATTTGGCAACCACGTCAGTATATTTTTCAGACGATTCATTCCCCTCAAATTTAAAAGTATTAAATACTTCCACACCTTCATTTCCAAGAAGATTGAGGAGGATGGCAATTTTCGTTCGATCCGGTTTCTCATCTTTTTCAGTAGCAAGCATATAGTTCGTAAACTTTTGATACCACCTCTTCCAACTTTCAGCAACGTTACCAATTGAAAAACTTATTTCTTCTGGCGGCTTAAAACTTTCCATCTTTCGGTTTATACTTCTGACACCATGTTATGTTCAATAAACACACAGTTTAAATTAAATACAACTTTATTAATAGTCAAGAATAATTATATGAAACATGTTAAACCTCGTGGTTCCGTTCAACAACAAACGCTGACGTCACCCCCGGCCTGTTGCCATCCTCCTAAGGTGTATACTATAATCGATTACGATTATATGACACATTATTAATGTTATTTCAATTGCCTTCTGCTTCCATAGTTATATTTTTAATTACAGAATGAAAACTTACTGCTGTCAATTTTTGGCACTTCTATTGCTCAAGAAAGTTGGTAAAACATCAGTATGCTTTGCATTTATATCTAAATAAAATAGAAATAAATGATACAATATTATATTAACAATTAAAATGATGAGAAGATGATTAACAGTGTACTATTAGAGCCAAATGAATTGCGAATCAATAATTTAAAGTCTGATGACTGAAAAATACTCAAGAAATCTTGAAAGTGGCCACTTTTTATAATTAACTTAGAGTACAAGTTTCAGGGTCGGGATAGCCTGGTTGGCAAGACGCTGGACTCAGGGTCTGATTATTTGGTCCAATAGGCACGGGCCTAGGGCCCACACATTCTGGGGGGCTTCGAAAATTAGTAAAAAGTCCACAATTGTGTAATACTACTTTTTTTTTAATACTGAAAGAAGCAGTTTTTCTAAAAAAAGGAATTTTTTTTATTCCAAATTTTCTTTATATTGTGATAAACCAAACTCGTGTCATTGCACTTATCAAATTCGAAAGTATAGCTGAATTTTAATTGGTGCAAATTTAACTCCAACGGTTTAAGCAAATGCAACGAGAATGCATACTTGCAAAGTTTCTTATAAATGATTAGTGTCAACAAGAACCAGAAGGTTATTCTTAACAAATATGGAAAGCTGTAGATGGATCCATCTACAGCTACAATCTTTAAAATAATTCAGCTAATCAGTGACTTTCAGCAAAAATCATTGATTTCACTTGTTTGTGGTCACACCAAACTATTTTTATTTTGGTACATTTTATATTTTGCTTTAATATTTAGATGCGTAAACTTTATCTTAGAAAAATAATCTTCAATTGTCTGCTTTCAAATTTCTTAGAATGCTTCTCTTGAATCATGCAATTTAATAGATTCTTTTTATTGTTAGGACTAATCTTCAGAAATTTAATTTCAAAATATTTCATTATTGGCCCCGGAAAATTTTGTCTTGATCGGTCCCTGGCTGGACTCACGTTCGTGAGAATTTGTCGGCTCATAAAGCTCCCTCCATGCTCCCATAACAAATTATACCTCTGGGGGTACTGAATTGGAGATTGATCGTACTCTGGTTCGGGCAAAATTACGATCTGCGGATGAATGAATGGGCCGCCTTATAAACGGGTGTGGCAGAACTTGACTTCTTGGCCACAGATGGTGCTACCGGAAAAACTAGAACAATCGCATCCCTTGCCTTATTGGCCTACTCCAACAACAACAACAAGCAGAAGTTTCCTTGAGTCAGAAACAACAGAAAATCGAAGTTTTTTTTAATTTTCATTTTCTTAAAATTTTGTAATATCCTAAGACAAGCCTAACTTAAAAATTGTTAAAATTGTAATGCAATAAATTTCATAACACTTCTTGACGGAAAGTGCAATTTAATTTTCTTTCTTGATTTGATGCAATTCTTATTTCTTTATGGATTGTTAGTGCAAAAAAGTACTTCTGTAAACCTTCTTTCTTTTATTTATTGTACGAACACTATGCTGGCGTTCAGGGCCATATTAAAAACCTCAGAGGCCCTAAGCACTTATAAATTTTGATGATCCTTAAATGTAATTAAGAACATCAATACAAAAAATATTTTTTTAAATTAAATTAAAGTAAATTTACAAAAATTCATAAATTTACGTAACAGCCAAATTGAACTCTTTTCGCAGAGGATCTGGTGGAAATCAAAAATTTCCAATTAATTTCTTGAAGGGTTTTCAACGCTAATCACGTTTTCTTGCGATTTTAGAGCAAAATTAAAATAATTTTGACTTTTTTGGTGTTTTATTCTTAAATAAATTTCCAAACTCACAAGCTATTCGTCTTTTCATTTCAATACTACAAGATATAACCTAATTTTTTATACAAACTTTCCGGGTATTCTGTAAGGTCTTTTAATATGTCTTTTAAATTTTTTCTAAAAATATTTTCGTTGTGGGTCTTAAGTTAATATTCATGCAAAACAAAAAATGTTTCGAACTTTAAGGAGTTTTTTTTTTTTTGAAACATACATAAGATCAAATTCAGTATAAATAGGGAATTAATAATCAACTCTTTCTTTTTTAATCTCCGAGAATATTGGGAAACCTTTACCTTGTTCGTGAATTTAAAAAAGTTTTCTTGTTACTAGCATTTATTACAGTCAAACCCCGCTATAGTGAACCTTCAAGGGACCGAAATTTTGGTTCACTATAACCGGGAGTTCACTATAGCCGTTTCTCAAAAAATTCAACTTGTGGTTTTTCAAACTCCTCCCTTTTATTACACATTATTCAAATAAATGACTGAAAAATATTATGTAGCAGCAAAAAATGTGTCATTTTTCATTACTCTTCTACTGAGAACAAAAAGGAGTTGAAATGAGAGCCTTATCAACACATATTAGTGTCCAACCCTTTGACCAATAATGAATAATTTCTCATTCCCTTTGACAGAAAATGCATATTGATCCGACTGACACCTTACAGGTGCATCGTCTGCCTGGGTTGGAAACATCTGCTTGGTTTGCTTAAGGATGGGAAAGTGAGATAAAAGAAGCAAACAAGAAAAAATGCGTATCGCTACATTCCCCTCTAGAGATGGTTTTGAAAATCGGTATATGTATTTAATTTGAAGTAGAAATTATAAAATTATTACAACAAATATTTTAAAAGAAAATCAGTCGAAAACAGAAAAAAGTTCATTATATCCAACTTCCTCACTTTTTTGGTTCACTATATCCACAAAAAATAACATTACTACACATGTATAGCAAGGCACGGGACCGAACATTTCGTTCACTACATCCGGGAGTTCACTATAAACCGTGTTCACTATAGCGGGGTTTGACTGTATTATTATCAAGGAAATTAATTCACTTTCGTGTTCGCAACGATGGTTAACTCCCTCTCTCCGTCTTTAGAAAGGGCGTTCAATGTTTCTTGGTTTAGGTGTGACAAAATCGGCTTATTTTCTTCTTTTCCGCTCACATGAAAAACGTATCGTAAAACGCAGTTATAACGACAAGCTAAAAACAGACTAGCCGTTTCGAAATTATTTTTTTTGTGCAGATTTTCTTTGTTCAATCAGGATTAGAAATCATGATTTAAATCGGCTAAATTTTCTAAAAAATCATTGATTTAATTGCAATGTTTTTTTTTTTTTTATGTATAATTCACTTATTTAGAAATTTAAGAAGCATTACAATTTGAGATATTTTAAATTTTTTGAGGATATCATTGTGCTAAAAAATTCAAGAAAGCTTTTTTTGAAGAGTGATCTTCTTTTTTTAATAAATAAGTTTTTTTTTTATAAATGAGTTTATTGAGTTATTCTAAAAGTAAGGAATAAAAAAACACTAGCTATTTTGTTTAAGTATTAAAAACTAAATAAATGATATATTTCTATTTCATTTCCAATTAATTTGAATCAAGCATTTACGTGTACTGTGTACAGGGCTTGAAGTCCAAAATCTTAAAGTTAAGGACAAAATTGCCTCCAAATTTAAGAATAATTTCAGGATGCTGATTGGGAGCAATTTGTACCGTCGGCAAAAATAAACAGATATCACCCTGAATAACTTTAACTGAATAACTTTCGTTCTAATGATCGGATTTTCACGAACTAAGTGTCAATCTTAATTATTCCTGGGGGTGAACTCAAATATGCTAATTAATTAGTGCTAAAAGTAGAGAAAAATAAAAACAAATTACTTTTTTTTAAAAATATTTTTTCTTCTTCTTTTTTTTCATTATTCTGTAATTTTTTCCATTCTACTTTTTGAACTTATTTTATGAATTCAATGTACTTACAGCTTATGCGCAGTAATATATGCTCAGTATATATATATATATGTTTACTACTAAAACTCAGTGGCGCGACAGCCCATAGAGAGCCAAGGCCTACTGTGCCCATCTCAGTTTTCTTGACCTTGGGTTCTAGGGTGCAGGAGCAGATGTTCCTGTCAGGTCAGTCGAAAGCGGAACCGTGTTTAGTTCCCAAGAATGCTTGGTACTCATTTATTGACCCACTGAAGGAATGAAAGGCTGAGTCAACCTTGCCCGGCACGTATTGGGTTGTATTTTCTTTATTTTATTATAAAAGACCATTAAAAGGTCATTTCATTCTGACAATTATTTAAGTTACATGGTTTTCTTGAATAAGCATGATTTGCAAAGAGCATCCCTATGTTTCTATACATTTCGAAACAGACTTTTGCGAACATGTCCTTTCACTAAGTTCTTCTCCCGCAGTGGACTGATCGTAAACACGCGGTTTCCAGTAGAAATCCGAGGTCAAGCATCACTGGCTGGGGTCAGTAAGCGGGTGGGTGACCACTTAACTGCCTCAGGGACGTTTTCCAGATCGTCGCCAATAGCCAACCGTGCAGCTCTAGTGCGACGTAAATAAAGTACCTACCTATAGTGCAGCTTTCAGGAGAACTCCTCAAAACATCAGTCTCGCATAGTGGCTGGTACTATGGCCACGAGGAAATGCCACTTCGAATATGGGTGTGTGGTGAATAGTTTTGTCTTAAACTTGGCAGCCATCGGTGAGAGTAAACCAATCGACACTTTCATTTCATTCCTCCACTGCACCCCCATTAGAAATGTGCTCTTGCTTGCTAATATAGCAGCAGATAGCACCAGACTTTTAGTGCGGAGGAGTTCTCCTC